GAAATCTCAAGTTATTTCAAGCCACTTTATATTTTTTTCTGTATTGAAAGATGTATTCAGTTTAACAAAACTTTTGAATGAATGTGAATTAAATTAGGTGAAATCTCAAGTTATTTCAAGCCACTTTATATATATGTAACTGTCAACGTCACCCCCCTAAGCAGGCCGCGATAAATTTATCAAACCTTGACCGGTCCGCGACGATAAAAAGGCTGGGGAGCACTGCAGTACAGTAATGCAACAACAAAGAGTTGGTTCCAACGCTTCCGTTCTGGTAATATGGACGTATAAGATGAGACACTCTCTGGTAGCCAATCGATCGATAAAATCATGGAAATCGTCGAGTCGGACCGGCATGCAAGCACTTATTCCATTGCCCAGGAACTGAAGATTAGCCAGAAAACAGTGTCGAACCATTTGCATAAGACTGGTCTCAAGAAGAAGCTCGTTGTATGTGACAAAACGCTCAGAACTATTTACTTCACAAAATATTTCAAAATTTCTGTAGTTTTTTCTTTTAGTTTATTATTTAATTCTCAAATGAAATTAATTTGTCTTTCACAAAATTATTTTTACTGAGTATCTTCTATTGATTGTATATAGAAATAATTCATAATGAGCATAAATACAGCAATATCCCTCTCTGTTTTAAACCGGACAAGTCAAGGACATAAAAAGAGACTTCACTGAATAAAGAGAATTTAGGATTTTAAAAAGATACAAAATGCACTTAAAAATAATTATCAGTGAGTATTATATACAAATTTACTATTTTTATAGTAGATATTACGTATTATACAACCACCAACTATTTTATTTTTTTTTACTCATTTTATGGTAACGTATGAAATTTTATGAGCAGATATAAAGAAATATGATCTATAAGCTTTCACAAACTGCGGAAGCCAAGAAATGAACTAGCAGAGTCACCAATAAAAGCAATACTGCAGCATTCACTGTCATTAAATTCAATTTGTTACGTTTATTAATTGTACAAGTAATTTGGTTTGACATTTGTCCTTCACCTTTTTGTTAATTACGAAATCAAATAGACAAAATCAAATGAACAAAGGTGTATTGATTTAATATTTACAATCATTTATTATACAAAATTGTTTATGAAATGACTGCAGTTGAAGAGCAAAAATATCTATAGATAGAAATATATAAAAAATAATTACTGTTTACAATTTTTTTGATCTAAATAATATTGAAATTTTTATTAATTTTCTTTTATAATAATAACAATACAAAAATTGATGTTTTTGAAAAAAATAATGGATTTTATAATTTTTTATTGAATATAAACAGTTTTATATGTTATTATATTAAATATTTGTATTTAAGTTATAATTATATATAATATATAATGTTTGTAATAATTCAAAAAGCTTCGTGCAAATATAAGAAAGTCATCAATTAATTACATGGTTATATATTGATCATCGAATTCTAAGAATTTTTACTGACTCAGACAGAATGCATTTCAAATGATGTAAACAATTTATTACCACTTATTACCTACTCATGTACAAGTTTCAAATTGATGATGAACAGTGAATCATACGCAAAGAGAAGATTGGAGAACAGAACGCTTCTGTGATTTTATTTGATTTCGAATAAATGGCATTGATCAAGGGGAAACCAATCCCAGTTTTCATGCTGCGGTATCAGATCCTGAGCGAGGAACCACTCCAATCTCTTCCTGAAAACCAATATATTGCAAAAAGGCTTTCCAACGCGTCATCATTCTAATGCCTTTGCCATGCTGGGACTTCCTCACACACAAGATTTTATTACACTTGCACCATTTTCCACCGACACATCACGAGTTTCTCTATGGGGAAGATTTTCCACTCGCTTTTGTCAACTATCCATATTTTTAGTGCTTCAAATATCAAAAATAGTTCAATTATTATTTATTATAATAAAAAGTACACCAATACTTCATGTGGCTTCAATCAGTGCGGTTTGAAAATTCTAAAAGATATTACACAATATTACATTCCATACAAAAAGTACATTCCATACATAAATAAATACTAACATAAAATAAAAAAATATATTAATAGGCCGGCCAAAGGGTGATTTTCTCTATAATTTCAAATCTATTCGGTTTTGAATTACTCGATTATTCCGGTTTCAAACAGTGCAGTATATTATTGAAACAATACCCGCACTATGCAAGGTATTGTTGTACAAAATGTGAACATAATTGAAACAATGTAATTCTTGTTATATAGATCAATTTCATTTTAATCATATTCTACATATGTTTTATTTATAAATAGTTTTAATAGGCATATGACTCAAGAAATGATATTAATTGTGAACAATAATTGAGTTCCTTGACATTTGTAAAAATAAATTATGATGTAGATAAAATCATCAATAAGAGCTGTCACTGCTGTCAAACGATTATAATTCCCATTAATAATAATTATCGTTTCAATTAATTTTCAGCTGTTCATTGTCAGCACGTCTTTCATTTTCTCGACAGCTTTTGTACAAAATTTGCATAACTAATGTATCTTGAAATTTTCATTCCAGGTTTTCTCAATTACAAAATCCATTACTTTTATTACATGGACATAATTTAATCAAGTTTATTTATTAAACTCAATCGTTTTATAATAATTTTGCAATGAAATATATGTATAAAAAGAGAAAAATAATAATATTTATTGTTACAGTCACCTATAAAAAAATAATGAAAAAGAAAAGATTTACAAAAAAAACTATTCACCATAGGTTCTTTAGTACAGTAATACCTCATACAGTGCGGCTACAATCAATGCGAATTTATTATAGTATGGTTTGAAAATTTCGAAACAAACTAAATGTTAAGTAAAATAAAAATATTGTTTTTTCTCTATATAGTCTTTTTGTGCTGTTTATTTTAATGCAGTTTTGAAGTTTTGTTTCAAACAGTACGGAACCTGAACATATTGGTTGTATATTCAAATCAGATTATGTTACAATTAGATAGATTATATGTTAAGCTATGTGCGTTTGAATTGTAGTTGGATGAATGACCTTTGTTAACTTTGCACATATAGAATATCAGTATTGTGGAAGGATGACGCACGTTTTACTACAAGAATAAATCGCAACTTATATAATTTTATCAGCAAGAACCGTAATTTGCATTAACGTTTATTATCAATTAAAATTCTTGCAATAATTATAGGTTAACAGTTGTTTATAATCAATTACAAATTAATTACTTAAATACATTATTCAGTGAATTTGCTCATCACTTCAAACGAAATTAATTATTTAAAGTTGTTATTCCATATTTATTAAAAAAAATATTCAGTATAATATGGTCAATCTGCAAAAGGACGATTACACATTTAATTTGAACTGTGAACGAGCAATACACTTGGCCTATATTCAGGAATTGCAATGCAACCATGAATATAAGCGTGATGCATTTGCTGTTCCTTATAAAGCACCGGTAATGTACTTTATGTTCGAACATGCACATTTCTCATGGGAATTTTGCCTGCATTTCCATAATATAAAATTGATACGAACAAAGGAAAAAAATGAATACCAAAGCAATGCTGCTGCAATTAATTGATTACTATTTAATGGTTGCTTTAAAAACAAGCTTCTCCCATGAGATTTCCATATTTACATCTTCTATTTTATTTCAAGTACAGCAATTCATTGCAGGTAATCAGTTGCGCCAATATCAAAGACAGTTTGAAACCAGACTAATACGATAATTTATGTATAAAAATGAATTTTGTTTACTAATTTTTAAGTATTTATTTTTGTCAATTAAAATTTAGTTAGTCAATCCGGACTGATTGAAGCATTGCTATGCGAGGTATTCTGTAGCAGTAGTCGTATTACTTATAAAAGCAACAATATTTACATTAACTAAAAATCAATAATTTATTTACATATACAGTAAAACCTGTTTTCGAGCGGTAGATGGGGACCGAATAAAAGAAACCGTACAAAAATTTTCAAAAATTTTATAATTTCTTGCAAGTAACAAATAACTTTGAACAATGCATTATAATTTTTTTTTATGCGACCACTCTCCAAATCGCACTTAGAAAATACTTCAAAAATTTACGAAATACATGAGAACGTGCATCCAAAGAAAATAAATAATTAAATTACACATGGAAACATTTTAAAAACATTTAATTTCTTGTGATTAATTGGTTCAAAATCGACTAACAGAATCGTTTGGGCAGGTTGTACAAAACAAGTTCTACTGTACTTCCTAGTTATTAAATATCACACAAACTGTTGATTATGTTTGAAAATTCATAAAATTGTGTATTTCTATGTTAATGTTTCTATGGTAATATTAATTATATAAAAGTAATATACTTTTGGTAAACATTTTGACTAACATAAAAATCTCCAAAATGTCTCAAAAATTAGAATGTATGAATAATTATCTTTTCATTCTTAAGTTACTTGTTTTCTACTTTATGCTATTTATTAAATAAATTTTACAAAAAATGACATTTTACTTTGATTGCCTAAAATTGACAATGTTTGTCAAGAAATGTCAATGGAGTATTGACATTTATACAAAAAACATATATATTGTGTGTCTAAATGTTAAAACATAAAGAAAATATAATTTAGTATTATCTTTTTAACTATAAATATTATGCATTAATTTTATTATTCAACAAAAAATATACATTCCCTAACTACATTTATAAAAAAATATTGTTTTCACTAACAAACAAAAGTTTTCAATATAAATGTGCATTTTAATAAATATTTTATATAATCTCCAAGAAAAAGCAATAAATAAAACTTGATTGATTTTTAGTAAAATTGTGCACTTTTTATGTTATATTTTATATAAGAAAAAAAAGTAAGTGTGAAATTAAAATTAAATTATATCAAAAAATTCAAAATATCGAACTAATTGGTGCATGATTTAATTTGTATTATAATAATTTATATATTATATAATATATTATTTAAGAATTTTAAAATAGATAATTTGTACTTACGAACAACTTTTTTTAACTTTTCCTCCTTCGGAGATGTTAAGTGTGGCACCTCTATCCAGGACCCCCATGATGTTGGTCGCTCTTTAAACGTTCTAAAACACAAAAGACACACTTCTGTAACACCGAAACAATGAACGAATTGACTTCAATTCGGAAAGTGCGTGTACATGCGAATTGTAATTGTGCAACTACAATGAACTCGAGCGCTTTGAGCAATTCCGACGACGTCCAGCAAATCACTCAGCAAACCCACATTTTCATGATTACACACACTCACATAGTCCAACAGACGAACGCCTACCAATTCGAATCACACATATTGTAGCCACAATTCGCACAATCCTCGACCTTGGATCCGATTTTTTTTATTTCCGAATCCATGAAGCCTCGAAATTCTATTATTTTTCCTCCAGGACGTGCCTTTTAAACATTCGCCTCTTTCTTATTTGTTTGCTTAATTCCATGGGTGTTAATAATAACACAGTAATAAACTTACCGAGAAGCTAAATAATTGCAAGTGAACTTGAAACACTTTATAACGTGTTGCTGTTTGCCGCTTTATAATAAATAGTGATGCAATAAGCGCATAATCTTTATTTAAAACTAAATTTGTGTATAGCTTTGCAAGTGGTAAACATTCATAGAAGTAAGATTTATTTTGAGAAAATGTGTTACTTTTATATTTTTATAACATGATGTACTAAGTATCGTAGAAAACTAATTCTATTTTAAAATTATAATAATAATTTTTATTATAGCTATATAAAACAATAAAAAATACAACTTAAGCGAATTCATTTGAAAAAAAAAAATCCAAAATTATGACACATTTTTATACTAAACTCTTGTGTTACGTTCTAGATTTTATTCTCAAAAATTATTTTTGTGACAACAATTAAATATGAAGAACAAAAAAAAGGTTTATTCAATAAAAATAGTAATGCGTTCTTACTTGTATAACTAGATGTTAAGTTGCCAAAATTATAGAAGGAATGAGGACTTTACAAGGAATTGTTCGTATATATACTGGGTTCATATGTACTGATTATTGTATATATATATATATATATATATATATAGGTTACATAATAACGGTAATCGTTTAAACATATTTTGGGACCGGAAGGGTCTTAAGTAGGAGCGATACCCAAGTATAGATAACAAACCAGTGCAGAAATTTACTAAAAGTAGATAACAATTCCTATACATATGCACATTTAAATATATTGAAATTTATTTTTTACTTTTATATATTTAGTTACGTAAATAAAATTATAACTACACATTTTTAAATAGTAAAAATTTGAAGATATTTTTCACTTGTAAAATGTGTTAATTCTATATATTAAAATATCTATTTTGTATTCAAATAAATCAATTGCTTCAAGAACTTTCAGATCATTATTTCTTTTTTAAATATTAATCATTTGAGTATAAATTTATATATGTGTCGACATATCGATATCATTATTACTTTAAAAATATAAGTTTAATCCTTGGTTTTGTTGTAACATATTGCGATAAACAATGTACTTGATTATTTATGGAAATACGTGTTTTTTAAAATAATGGAAATTCCAGTTTATTTATATCATTGGAAATAAATTATTGAAACACAGTATTTGTTAACGACAGTACCATTACGTGGTGGACAAATTATAGCTCATGCATTTTAACTGACATTGCATAACTTCTGAATTTCATCTAAATTTTTATCATTTTTTAGAAATACTTGTATTTTAAATGACATATATTGTTGTAAAAGTAAATTATTTTTTATATAGTTATAATTATAATTTTTATATATAAATTTAACATAATTCAGTATTTGAAATTGTTTATTTATAACATAAATACAGCATTACCTCGCATAGTCCAGGTAATCGATTCCGCCAATATACCGGGCTGTTTGAAACCAAACTAAGAACTTTAAAACCGCATAAATACAGACTTAACTGCATAAACACTATGTGAGGTATTCATTTATATTCTTGGAAAAGTTAAGTATTGATTTGCAAATTATATTATGAGAATATGTAAATGGAAATGCATTATTCAATATCGGTAAGAAATAGAAGCGAGATTGATCAAAAAAACATTTTATACCTCCGAAAAAAAAATAGAAAAAACAAAAAAAATCGATAGCTTTGGTGGTTTTTTTTGCATTGTTTTATAATGAAGGAAAAAAAGCTAAAGGTTTTCCATTTCCTCGTCGACGCGTATGCACAAACGATTTTCCTTGTTACGTCTTTTCTCATCATTTTGCATATTCTATTTACTCATGCATACAAAAAATGTAATTTGCAGATGATTCACAATATAAAAAAACAAAATATACATGATATCTTGTTTGTTCTGTTAATTAATTATGTAAATAATAATGCGCATAATTACACCTTGCATATGTTTCAACGGAAATGTATAAGTGTTTTGTATACATTTTTGGATTATTTTTTTATTTGAATATCTTTGATATTGACAATAATATTTAGTAAAAGTAGTTAAAAATTACTTTAATTTAGATCAATAACACAAATTATGAATTAGTAAATAAATAATAATGTATAAAGAAATCAAAAAGATTTGAAATTAAGCAATGTAATATCATAATAGCAACAATGACAAACTAATGTAATGAAAAATATTTCAATCATTTAATACAACAGATTTGCAGGTTTCAAATGTTACCTTGTAAATCATGATCTCATATTCAACGAAGCACAACTGTTTTTCACAATATTGAAGCATGAATTAAAAAAATATCTTTTTTAAAGAAAGTTTTACTGATAATATTTTTTTTAAGTTTTGTGGAATATCCGTTTGATGGTTTTAAATAAATGTAAAGAAAAAAATGATATTGTATAAACTATTCAAAACGATTTGGATATATTTATATAATAAAATGACAGAAAATAAAGGCTGAAAAACATTTTGTTGATATTAGATATTTGATTTTGAGAAATTAAATCTACTGGTTCTGCCACTAAGATTTTATTGATTCAGAAGAAATTTTCAGTGAGTGTTTTCCAATGTTTATCAATGAGAGATAATTTATTAAATGGTTTTTTTTTTCGAATAGTTGTAAAAGATGTTAAATAAATTAAAATAGTAATAGCTATTAAAAAAATGGTTAACTATATATTTAAATGACCCATTCTTTATTTTAGATATTAAAATTGCTTAATATAAAACGTTTGGAATATTTATTATTTTTATTGTGCTGAAAATTTGAATTAAGAATGATGCATACACATATTTTTTAATATGTTTATCTCTATAATATATTATAAATAATATTTTAAAGTCATATTTTATTCCATAAGTTAAAGGATGAGTTTAACATAGTTTATCTTTAAATATTTTATTTGTGAAATGTGTTGACGTAATATCGTTTACAGTGAATTTAGAGGCAGGTTTATTGTATAGGCATGAATAATACAATTTTTGTTATTAAAAATTTATGATGATGATTATTATACATTGTACATTGCTTATATTTATAACGTTTAGTAAATCTTTTGTTGCATCGTAATCATCAAGGTTGGTTCTTAGCAAATTACTCACCGATGTTCATTCATATTTTCATAACATCACTAGTATAAATAGACATTCATTCAACAGGTAAATAATAACATAATTTTATTTATAGATCAATTCTTTATGTTTCATTAAAAATATATTTTAAATTTCTTAAAATTAAGATTTTATTTGATTTTTTTTTTGTACAATTTACTTAATTTAATAATATTTTTCTATTGTTTAGATTTGTTATTAAAAATCTGTAGAATAGATTTTTTTCTTTATTGTTTAATAATTTGTTTGAATTGATATTTGTAACATTTAATTATAAATATTTGAACTTACGTTTCTACTCAAATTCCACTTTAAAACTAAAACCTTTCAAATAATCACTTCAAATGTGCGTTTACTAGTTTTCCACTAAAAAAACTGTGTTTATTTAAGTTACGAATCCAAAATATAATCATTCGTCACCAGTGTTTATTTTTAAAAACCGGGTTTCGCGAAAAGAAAAAATCGATTCTTGACGCAGGTCTGTTTCTCTTTCTTTTTTTACATTTATACTTTGAATTTTTCCAGCATTCCAATAATGCATTTGTTAATGCTTTATAATTAGTATTTAATGGTATGCTTTGTTGCAGCAATTACGTGGCATTTGCTTTGTAGTACAGTCATTAGCACTCGCGTTTTTATCGCACAATTCAACAATAATCTTATGATAATTGGCCACAGGAAAATCTTAACAACGAAAATTTGGAATACAAAATTTGGAATACGTCGTTTCTTCAGTTTGTGTCTTTGCAATAAAATATTGGAAGAAAATATTTCACACATTGAGTTTTAAAGTATTCTTAATAGATTTAAAGTTTCTATATTTGCTGTACAATATACCGAAAATTCCAAATATTTTGTTATTTGACCTTCCATTCGTTAATTATGAGTTTATGTACTTCAATATATACCAGATAGGTTAATCTATTGTTTATCGTAATGCTAATGCATGATTTTTAAAGTAGACATATTTTTATCGGTTGTCTATTGTGCTTTGCTTGATAATTATTACTTTACTTGTATCATTATGTAACGTAATTCAGTAAGCATTGATTATATTTTTTTTTATATATTGTTTTGTGTATTACTGGTTTGAGTATTCATAAAATTGTTATAAATAATAAATTAATTGCTATAAATATAAATTTAAAAAAAAATAATATTCGACTTGTTTTCTGTAGATTATCTAAGTATGGTTTTGGAAATAGTTTTTTTATATATAATAGTGATAAAACTTGTACTGGAAACATTTAATTTTTTTATAACTTTTATTATAATAATAATAAAAAACTTTATTAGTCACCAATTATAACCAAAGGGCTAACTTTTATTATTTATTCACAATCTGCCAAAACTTTCTGGCAATAAGCCGAATGTTTTTTTGGAAAAAAAAAGAAAATAAAAACAGAAAAAACAAAATATGCTATTTCCCATTGGAAATCTTCCTATAAACAATTATAAATTTAACTAAAAAGAAATAATTCGATGACAATAACAACCCAATTTAATTATTCAAACTACA